TCTCATAGAGATCCACCTGCCTCTACCTCCTGAGTGCTGGGATCAAAGGTATATGCCACCATGCCTGGCGTTATATTTTAATTAATTATTTTTTGAACAGGGTCTCCCTGTAGCCCCAATTGTCCTAGAACTCACTATGTAGACCAGACTGGCCTCGAACTGACAGAGATCCACCTGCCTCTGACTCCTAAGTGCTGGGATTAAAGGTGTGCACCACCATGCCTGGCATTTTTTTTTAAATAAATAATTTATTGAGAATTTCATACATGCATATAAGGTGTTTTGATCAAATCCATGCCCACTCCCTCCCCTCCAACTCCTCCCATATCTCCCCATCACTTTTTTCTAATAACTTCATGTACTCTTTCTTCTTATTTATTTATTTACTTATTTATTTATTTATTTTTGGTCTTTTTTTGAGACAGGGTCTCCCTGTAGCCCCAGCTATCTTGGAACTCACTATGTAGACCAGGCTGGCCTTGAACTCACAGAGATCCACCTGCCTCTGCCTCCCAAGTGCTGGGATTAAAGGCATGCGCCACCACGCCCAGCTACCATTTATTCATTTATTTATTGATTGATTGATTGATTGATTGGTGTTTTTGAGACAGCGTCTCCCTATAGTCCCAGCTGGCTGTCCTGGAACTCACTATGTAGACCAGGCTGGCCTTGAACTCACAAAGATCCGCCTGCCTCCACCTCCCAAGTGCTGGGATTAAAAGAGTGCACCACCACGCCCAGCTTCACTATTTATTTTTTTATGGGGCTTTTAGCTACTCTAACATTTCCCCCTCTGAAGAGGTAACCCTAAAATCTTTTAAGGATTAGATAAAAGCTCCCACATATTTTTTACATTTTAAAATTATTTTTTATGTGTATAAGTGTATCGCCAGCATGTGTGTGCACCCATTGTGCAGTGCCCTTGGAGGTCAGAAGAGGGTGTCGGATCCCCTAGAACTGGAGTTACCAACAGTTGTTAGCTGCCGTGTGGGTACTGGGAATTGAACCCTGGTCCTACGGCAAGAGAAGTCTGTGCTCTTAACCACTAAGCGATCTCTCCAGCCCCTGTTTTGTTTTCTTTTTTTAAGACATGTTCTTATGAGGCCCAGGCTAGACTGAACTTGCTATATAACTGGGGATTGACTTTGAATGCCAGATCTTTCAGCCTCCATCTCTCTAGTACTGAGATTACAGACATTTACCACCATACCTGGCAGTCTGATTTTAATACATGAGTTTAGAGATTCTACTCAGCTAGGTATGGTGGCTCACACCTGTAATGCTAGCAGTCTTGAGACTGAAGTAGAAGGATCACTGCTAGTTTGAGGCTAACTTGAGTTATGCAGTGAGTAGGAGGCTGGCCTGAACTCCGTAACAAAACCCCATCTCAAAAAACAAAAAACTCACAATGGGCCTGGACATGTGGCTTAACTGGTAGAGTGCTTGCCTAGCATGCAGGAAGCCCTAGGTTCTCCAGTACCATCTGACTGGATGTAGTGATAAGGTGCAGTTATCTCAGCACTTGGAAGGTAGAGGCAGAAGGATCTGAGGTTCAAGGTCATCCTCCACTACATAGTAAGGTTGAGGCCCAGGACCTCCCCACCACCAAAAAGAACCCACCCCCCAAAATAAATGTGCTTCTGATTAATTTCTATTTTTCATACTTTTTTTTTTGTCTTTTTGAGACAGGGTTTCCTTGTAGCCCCAGCTGGCCTGGAACTCACTATGTAGACCAGGCTGGACTCTAACTCACAGAGATACACCTGCCTCTGCCTCCCAAGTGCTGGGAATAAAGGGGTGTGCCACTATGCCCGGCTTTTTATATATGTTTAGATAACAAAGAACGGACATTCAACTCCATGACAGTTCAGGGAGAGGCTATCCAATCGGACTCCCCCTTTTCTCCCGGTCACATGCATTTCTGCTCAGACTAAATATATCATACTCTTGGCAGCTCCTCTGCTCGCTTTCTCCCCATTCCCAGTTTGAATTTTCTGCATGACTGAGTTCACCTCCAAACTATGGAAAATAAAAGTTTTCGCACTATTTAATAAATGGGTGTGATATGTCATCCCTCAGATGATATATGTTCTTATAATGGGCCTCTGACTCCTTCAGGGTCAGGATGGGAATGCATTTCCTTAAATATGATCGCTCTAAGTATGCCTAGTCATATCATCATCTTCATTTTTGAAATGGTCACAAAGTTCCTATTCCCATAGTCAGTCCTTCTTCCTCCATTTCAAGGTACAAAATGGCTCACCTGTGAAGGGCCTCTGAAAACCTGTTTCTGTTAGAAATAAGCTCCTTAGCACACAAGAGCAAATAAGCAGTTACCATAAAATACAATTTTCCTACATTTTAAGAGTGACCAGTCTAATGATCTGCAAAACATCTAAGTCCTTATTATCAGGTACAAAAAAGAACTGCCAAGACAGAGGGCAGGATGGGCTCTTAAACACAGGAAAGGCATCCCACGTTTTTGGCAAATCACACACTCCTCCTGGGGAGGTAAGGGTGAGGTGGAAGGTGGGCGCTTTTACTTAAAATTTACATTTGCTAAACTGGGAAGATTAAATTTTCTGCTTTCCTACAATACGCCTAATGTAAAGGATCTTATTGCGTTTCTGGAGAAACGGAAAACGACTTCCCAGGACTCTTGTCACGTGCTCACAGGGCCTTCAGTAAATGTTAGTTGATGAAATATTAGTCAAAGATGACAAGTTGGGCACCAGGGGCGGCAGACCCGCTCCCGGCAAGGCAATGGTCCGTCTTCCCCGCAGGGCCCGCAAGGGGCCGGGGGACATGGGACAGCATCGACCGAGCTGTGCCTGGGTCGGGGAGGGGGGGCTCTGCGGCAGGACCTCACTAGGTCACTGCAGGCACCAAGGGCTCGAGAGCACTGAGGTCGTGACTGGGCGTCCCTCACCGGGGTAGCCCACTCGCGTCCGCTTTAGGGGGTTCCGCGACCCCCACCCGGGCCGTGTGCGCAGACTCAGCCCGCTGACAGCAGGCGGCAGCCGCGTGTACCCGGCCAGAGCGCGCACGAGCGGAGGCCCCGCCCCCTCGCCTCTGGCTCCCGGTGATTGGCGGTTGGGCAGCAGGGCTGCACGACCAGGGACGCTATTGGCAGCAATTCCCAGTCATTCAAAGAGCCATGCGGGGTGGGGCCTCCTCAGGGAGGGACACGACCGTGAGGTCTTTTCAGAGCCGGAAGGCGCCATTTTGGTCTGCTGTTTACTCGCTTTGTTGTCTGCTGCTCACTCAGTTTTGTGTACACGACTGTAGGTTCAGAGCCGCAGAGTGTGGTTTCCTAAGGGGTTCGGGCTGACTTTTGGTTCCTGCCGGCCCTACTTAGAGGCCTTTCAGATAATAGTTGCACAGATAATAGTTGTGTTTTCATCTTTAAGGAACCTTAGGACTCCCAGCAAAATCAACTCAGATTTGCTTTGCTTTGGTAAGGTCAAGGTATATATATTCATGAGAGGAATGCCTCTCTTACAGAGAAACTCCAGGTGACGACCTAGCTATGAGTTAGATACCTAAGCTGCCTCTGAACTCCTGGAGACCTCTCCCTTTTCTGAGGTCGACAACTTGCAGTGATGCATCAAAAAGAGTAAAAGTTCCCATTGCTGCGATCAGAGGTCAATAGAATCTAACCACATTTCAAAGAAATGCAGGTCTAAACTTGTGGAATGATCCACGTTCGGGCCGCTATTTATTAGGCACTCATCTGACTGGCATTGTTAGGAAATAAAACTACACTTAGTATAGGTCAGAAACCTAGAGAACCCACGCGGGGCCATTTCGTTATAATGAATTCAAGACCTTACAAATAATTTTACTGCAGTTGTTATTTGTCTTAAACACTGCCTGAAATATAGCACATTAGCTAAGGAATGGGGATGTTTGATTACCATCATACAGAGGTTTTGTTGTAGTGAAAACCAGTGGATCCTTTTTTTCTCCATCACTACTACACTTGTGACGTTCCAGTTTCTCCCTGATCTCTGCATATACGTATGCATTCACTACAATCTCTACAGATCGGAGGATATGAGTATTTTCTGAATGACTCCTGATGAGGCAGGGTTCCACCACGCAGCTCCCATGGGGAAGGAGGGGGCTCTACCCTGTGCCTGTTGCCTTCGATTTCACACACTTTCCTCTGAAACTAAGTCAAAGGGGAGGTTTTTCACCCACAGAATGCAGCATCACCAGAATGCATTTCTTACCCCTCCTATTACTCTCCCTTGCCTCCACTTGCTCCCATCAGTTCTTGAGAACTGGGGCTAGGCTGTATTTTTTTTTTTTTCCTGATTCTTTCCCAGCTGTGGATCGTTTCAAATAAACCCCAACCAATAAACGACCCTTTTGTCAAAAAGCCAGGAGAGAAAATTCCCTTCTGAACACCCCCCCGCCAAAGCACACATAAGGCCAAAATCTACAGCGCTGTACATTTAAGGACGTGAGACAATAATCAAGCAAAACCACTTAGAACAGTAACTAAAGGTGGCTCTGAACTACAGACTGATAAATCGCCTACCTTCATCTGCCACGAGTGCTGTGTGCTCTTTGCAATTGTTTAATTATTCACTAACCTGATCCATTAAAAGAGCAGAAAACAAGGTAAGTACTCACAGAAAGTTCCTAAGAATGCTAAGCACAGGATTTCCTCTAAGCTTTACTTTGCATATGAAATCCTGTTTTGATATTTGGGAACACACGAGAAAAAAATTCACATCCTAGGGTCTATTTTACACACATAAAATCAAAGGTAAACATTTTTGAAAATAAAACTTGATGCAGCACATATACACGTACTGTACATATACACAAAGAATAAACCCCAAGATAAAGGCTTGCGAAACTGTTTAAGAAACACACAGATAACACAAATATCCTCTTGAAATTATGTGTGCAAGACACACCATCAGAGGGCTTTCCCTTATCTCCAGGGAAATGAGTGTCCCAATAATATCCCGGAATATATTTAATCTATTGGCCTCAGACACTTGCCCGGTCCAAGCCACTTGGTTTTGGTTCTGGGGAGTGTGTGTAGAACGAATGCCAAACGGCTTTATGAGGGAGCCTCAAATCTATCTTTGCTTCCTTCGATGTTGCCTGTGGCAGAAATTTACATTATCCCTTCAGCCCGCTTAAAAAATCAAAACAACAACAACAAAAAACCCCAAAACAAATCTATACTTCCCAAAGAAGCTAAAATTTAAAGCCCTCGACCACAAAATTTGTAACTTCTTAAAATGGGATAGCGAAAAGAAAAAAAAAATCTGTAAATCTGTCGGGAAACAGTTGCACACGACCATCCTGCTTCTCAACTTGGTATATTTTTAAACCTTGACCAGGAAAAAGAAAGAGGAAGAGAGACAGAAAAAGAAATGGGGGAAAGAGCAAATTCCCCTTAGCAACAGTTTTCTCACCCCAGCGCTGCCACAGATCTCTATTTTTAAAAATTTTGAAAACACACACAAGATTAAGGAGGAAAAAAAAAAATGGAAAAAGGATACCCGAAGGTCGTATGGCTCTTTGTATTCGTGTGTGTGCAAAAAGGGGGGCCCGCGGGGCGCGGGGCCCCGGCCCCCCCCCCCCCCCCCCCCCCCCCCCCCCCCCCCCCCCCCCCCCCCCCCCCCCCCCCCCCCGGGCCCCCCGCCCCGATGGGCCGCGGGCCGCCCCGCCCGCCAGCACACGCGCCCCGCCCGAGGCGCCCACCCGGGGGGCCCCCGAGGGCCGCCGCGCCCGCCCGTACGCCCGCCGGTCGGTCCCCTGCGCGCGCTTTCCCACCCCCAACCTGCTCTCACTGTCCTCTCCTTTTCTCGGTGGAGCAAGGCCCTGGCCGCAGACTCAGTCCCTGAGCCAGCGCCTTCTGCCCCTTTGCTAAACTTGGCCAACTAGCCAGTTCACAGTAACGTTCTCGGCTGGCATTTCACGTCCCATTGGCTGCCTGGGCCTCACCTTCTGGTTTCCCAGGGAATGCCTCTGGGTCAGGCATGTTGGCCAACAGTCTGCCTTTACATGAACGTTTACGTGTGTAACGTTTAAGTGGAAGAAAGTCCTACACGTTGAGGATTTTTGCACAGCCTGAACTCCCAGTTTTGGCTAAGACCACATTCTGATGACACTAAAATGGCTCACTGTTACCTCCTGCATGAAGACCATTACTTACACCTGGACTTTAAGCAAGCCATAATTTGATCTCACCTATCTGCCTGCCTATTTATCTATCATCTATCTAGCTAGCTAGCTAAATAGCTACCTAGCTAGCTATCATCTATCCATCATCTATCAGTCATCTGTCAGTCATCTATCATCTATCAATCATCTATCATATCCATCCATCATCTATCAATCATCTATCAGTCATCTATCATCTATCAATTATCTATCTATATATCATCTATCCATCATCTATCTATTGAGAGAGGTGCACTCACGAGGACAACTTGCAGGAGTATTGGTTCTCTCTTCTTACTACCATGTGGGTCCTAGTATTGAACTGAAGCTGCCAGGCATGGTGGCAAAGCCTTCACCCACTGAACCATCTTCCTGGCCACCCACCAGGTTCTTAATTCCCTTTACCCTCAAGTTTTCATCCCCATCTTACACTTTGGTTCACCTGGTTTTGTCTGCCTAGAATAGTCCTCTCTTTTGACTAATTTCTACCTGTTATAAAGCTACTTCAGTCTAGAACACTTGCTTCTTGGGTTATATCATTTTATATATTCTTTCTTTCTTTCCTTCTTTTTTTTTTTGGGGGGGTCTTTTTGAGACAAGGTCTCCCTGTAGCCCCAGCTGTCCTGGAACTCACTGTGGAGACCAGGCTGGCCTGGAACTCACAGAGATCCGCCTGCCTCTGCCTCCCCGGTACTGGGATTAAAGGCAAACACCACCACATGTGCTTTGCCTGCATTGTATGTAAGTGCACCATATGCATGCAGGGCAGGTAGAGGTCAGAAGAGGGCATCGAATCCACTGGAACTGGAGTTACAGCTGGTTGTTAGCCACTATGTGAGTGCTGGGAACTGAACCCAGGTCCTCTGCAGGAGCATCACTCTTAACCACTGAGCCCTCTCTCCAGCCCCCATTTATTTGAATCTTATTATAGCACCAGACATAATGGTAGATGTTAAGCACTGAAAAAAATAATTCATGATTATTTTGAATTTTTTTCTAGTTAAGACACACTTTGAAACTCAGATCAAAAAGGATTGGCCTCCTGCCAGGTGTGGTGGCCTGTAGTCCCAGCACTTGGGAGGCAGAGGCAGGTGGATCTTTGTGAGTTCGAGGCCAGCCTGGTCTAGATAGTGAGTTCCAGGACAGCTGGGACCCTGTCTCAAAAAAAAAAAAAAAAAAAAAAAAAGGATTGGCCTCCTATAGTAAATCACAGTTTGTGTGCATTTACTGTTCAGGAATTGTTCTTTACATAAATAAATGTATTATATTCTCCATTTTATTTTTATTATATTTATTTTTTATATTTTATTCATTATTTTTATTTTATGTGTATCAATGTATTGCCTGCATGTATGTGAGTACACCCATGTCGTGCAATGACCTTGGAGGTCAGAAGAGGGCTTCGGATTCCCTGCAACTGGAGTTAAAGATGGTTCATAGCCATCATGTGGGTGCTGGGAATCGAACCCGGGTCCTTGGCAAGAGCAGTCAGTGTTCTTAACCGCTGAGCCATCTCTCCAGCCCCATATTTTTGGTCTTTTTTGAGACAGGCTCTCCCTGTCTCCTATTGAGCCCCAGCTGGCCTCAAACTCACAGCGATCCTCCAGCCTCTGCCTCCCAAATTCTGGGATTAAAGGCATGTGCCACCATGCCTGGCTATAGTCTCCATTTTAGAGATGTGATTAAGGCAGGAGTGGTATAATAATTTGTCTAAATTTATTTTATTTTATTAATTTTTTTTTTTTTTTGCTGTGCATGTGAGTTCAGGCACTTGTATGGTGGCACACATACAGAGGTCAGAGGACAATGTTCTGGTTAGTTCTCTCATTCCACCTTGTGAACAGGTCTCTTGTTTTCCAGGTTAGCTGGCAGAGAGCTTCTTCTGGGTGAGTCTTTGTTGCCACCTCCCATCTCACCATCCAAGGGTGGTATTACAGATGTGCACTCCTCCACGTGCTTCTACCCACCGAGCTATCTCCCCAGCCTACTTTGACAAAATTTAGATAAATAATTACAAAGACCAGGAATTTGAGCCCAGAAAATCCAGTTGCATAGCCCCAGTTCATAATCGCTATGCCTCATTGGCTTTAAAGCACATTTTAAAAATTATCTAGGGCCTGGAGAGATGGCTCGGTGGTAAGAACACTGACTGTTCTTGCAGAAGACCCAGGTTCGAATACCAGCACCCACATGGCAGCTAACAGCTGTCCATAACTCCAGTTCCAGGGTATCCAACAGCCTCTTCTGTCCTCTGAGGGCATTGCATGACACGGGTACACTTACCTACATGCAGGCAATACACTCATACACATAAAAATAATAATTTTTTAAAAAATTATCTCGCCAGGTGTGGTGGTGCACGCCTTTAATCCCAGCACTTGGGAGGCAGAGGCAGGTGGATCTCTGAGTTCGAGGCCAGCCTGGTCTACATAGCGAGTTCCATGTCAGCTGGGGCTACAGGGAGACCCTGTCTCAAAAAAAAGACCAAAAAAAAAAAATTATCTGATTTGATCTTCACAGTAGTATCTGTGTTACTGAGTCACAAAGGTAGGGGGAGTGTTCTAAATTCAAAACAGAGAGGACCTGAATTTGAATCCCCACAACCCTAGTGAAAAGCCAGGTTCTGTACCTGGGGAGGAGGGAAGAGGAAGATCCCCTGGGCTCGTTGGCCAGCCAGTTTTGCCATATCAGTGACCTCTGCCAGACTTTGACATCTGACCTCTACATACTCCTGCATATATGTGTGTGTGCCCCATACACACATGAACACATACATAATACACCACATGTGCATGCAGTATGCCACACACACACATATCCACACTCAGGAAAAAAAAGAATAGAAAGACATGACACCTAAATGAAAAGTGTGACCTGGGATGGGAGTTATAAAGGCCTGTTGCTAAAATTCCTTGGTGGGGGGAGATGTAAATGAGGCCATCCCCTCCTCCCTTGGTCCCAATGGCAAACCAAGATTCTATTCCACCAAAGTGTAGTCCAAAGAACCAGTGAGTTTATTGGGCTTACATAGCAATAGGTGGTGGTTTACTGACAGGAATGTGGTTACTCCCACCTAAGGCTGCACTGGAATGTCTTAACCCAGGCATGGATGATGTCTTCCCCAGACGGGAAGAAATGGAGCCCCTCCCTTAGTCTTCTCCAATCTATATACTCTACTCTTTCCCCCAGGCCATGGGCAGTTAGGGTCAAATTGCCCACCAGGAATTGGGAGCTGTGGCTGGATATTCAGGTGAGAATCCTTCCTTCTATGCTGGGATGGGGAAAGGGGTCTCAGCCGTCATCAAGGAGCCCAGCTATGACAATCTTTGGCAAGCTGGCACAGCTGAGCTCAGGAAGATGATGTCTATCAGAGGACGGTCCTGTACAACAAGGCCATTACCTGGAGGTAGGTAATTTGGTTGTATCAGTGTTAACAGGTAGGTTGTTGGCATAGATGTTTTACAAAAGAAAAGACAGAACTCCCTCCAGGTTAACTCCAGGACCAGCCAATGCTACAGCACTGGCCATCAGTTCACCTTGTTGGTCCTCCAAGCACAGGATGCTCTTGGTCAGGTCTGGTTCTCAGGGGAAAGCACACTCCACCCTCACTCCACCCTCTGGATTCCAGTTTACACCCTAGCAGCGTCCTAGGTTATTTTCAAGATTTCCAAGCTAGGCAATGACTTTGCATTTTACTGGGAAATAAGGTGCTAGTATTGATACTCCTAAGGGTTATAAATTACCTGTGTTTTTGTTTTATAGAACAGGGGCCCAACCAAACCCAGGGCCTTGTATATGCTAAACAAGAGCTCTAACACTGAGCTACATCCCCAGCTCCTATACTTCTTTTTATGTTTTCCATTTAAACATATTTTTTTTGAAGAAAGTTGGGGGGCTGGCTCAGCAGAAAAAGGCACTTGACCTGAACCCTGATGACCTGAGTTTGATCCCAAGATGACTCAGCAGGTAAAAGCACTTGATCACAAACCTAATGACCTGAATTTGATTCTAGGGTCCTACATGGTGGAAGGAGAGAACCAACTCCAAAAAGTTGTCCTCTGACTCCATACATGTGCTGTGGCAAGTGTGCCCCCCCCACATGAACACACAGGCATACATAGAGACACATATAAGTAAATGTAACAACAACAACAAAATAGTCAGGTGTGGTAGACTATGCACGCCTTTAATCCTAAGGCTTGGGATGCAGAGGCAGGTGAATCTCTGTGAGTTCAAGGCCTACATAACCAGCCAAGGCTACTCAGTGAGGATCACCCCCCCCCCGGTCTCAAAAAGAAAGAAAGAGAGAGCGAGGGAGGGAGGGAGAGAGAGAGGGAAGGAGGGAGAGAGAGATCGAAAGAAAGAAAGAAAAAGAAAGAAAGAAAAGAAAGAAA